AGGAAGGAAGAAGAGAGAGAGAGAGAGAGAGAGGGGGAAAAAAAAAGTGGTCGAGAAGGCATTCTCCTCCTCGATCGAATATATATTCAGCTGCAACTTATTATGCAACGCGTGATTCAATTGCACGATCTCCGTGCCGGTGGGACGGACGAGCGGAGTTTAGAGCCCGCCGATCGGATCTCTCGACGATCGATCTTCCTCCGAGCTAATGGAACCTCCACTTTGTATTAAACGCGGCCCCTTATATAACTATAATACTATCCTCTTCCTTTTACCTCTCTCTCCCCACCCCTCACCTCCTCTCTCGATATTCGAAAATTCCATCGCGGTGGCTTCTTCGAGAGGTGGACGGAGGTCGACGAAATATCCGTTGAAATATCGCGAAAGGGAAAGTCGATTGGACGGGAGAGAGGAGGGGGACAGGGAAAGGAGAGTTAAGCCGAGCGGAAGGATTCCCAAGGGCTAATCGAATTATCGAGTTACCTAAACCGAGATGCTGCTCGAATTCGTAATAACGTCTAAAAGAACCCTTGGAGGAGGGTCTTTATAGGGGGAGGGGAGCCGTACACGGCTGCCGAGAGCCGAGATTACATCGATCGAACGAGATTACGAAAAGCGGGCCAAATTGAGCCGTAATGCGAGATCTTGGCCAGGAACCTGGAGGATAAAACCGCGCGGAGAAAATGAGAAAAACGACCGAGGAATCGTTTCTTACTCTCTTTCTCTCTCTCTCTCTCTCTCTCTCTTTCTATGTATATATATATCTGTCCAAACGATTTCGTGTGTGTATAATCGTGTGTGCACGCGTGTCCCGTGCGTGTACGCGACCGTCCAAGACCGGTTTCTTGGTAACATCGTATCTACATCGTGTGTACAAGATCCCGGCTCGGGTATGCTTTAACTAATTCACCTACCGGACAGTGGTTCTCCATTCCTGTAATTCGATAGATTGAAAAGACGAAAAAGAAGGGAGGGGGGAAAAAAAATTGTGAATTTATCTTTTAAACCGAAGGGAGAAAAAGGTTTGTCTTGTATAACAGTTCTTTTTAATTTTTACGCTATGCGTCGAATAAAAAGAAAGAGTGGAAATTTAATTTAGTTTTTGGGTTGGTTCGTTGGTTGAAAGTAAGTTGCTTAGAAATCGAGTTTCGTTTCGTCAAAAAAATTGGAGCAATAAAGTGGCGCGTTTTCAACGAGAGAATTCCTCCCTTTCTCGTTTTAAAATTTCTCGTTACGTTTCTCTTTCTTCTCTGCGCAATATTCTTTTTCTTTCTTTAATCGGACGGGGATTCCCGTTTATTTTGCCGGCTAATCTATAAAGGTGGCCGCTTCGGGGATGCTGGGAGAAGCCTAAAAAAGTTTGAAAGCCGGAGAATCCGTGAAAATATCCAGTATACAGAAGTAAACCTTCGCTTTGGAGGAACGTTTCCCTCGATATGCATCTTTCAACGGTTACACGGCAGAAAAGCACCACTTTGGGATCCACATTTTTCTCTCCCCACGGTAATCAGAATACGTTCCTACAGTTTGGCCAACCATTCGAAAAATTCCCTATACACGAACCTTCTCTCCTCGAATCCCCGAAACGTATTATTCACGTACAACCGATTGTTGAAACTGGACGAAAAAAAAAAAAGACGAAGAAAATTAATTCGATGAAACGATTTAAATTCCTCTTTTTTAAATTATGGATATTTATGTATATCCTAGGAAAAAGAATATTATTATTCATATAAAAGATGCACGGAATGCGAAGGAACAAAAGACCGCCATTTTATATGTTCAAAGGATCGAAACGTAACAAAGTTGCAGCACGTGTATATTTGTCCATCCTCGAACTCTCTATTTAGCGGACCACTCGGTCTTCCATCCCCTCAATTATGACTCATCTTACGACTCGCGTTTCTGAGTCATCGTCCCGGCGGCGGAAGAACGTCAATGGGACGTGCACGGCGAACAAAAAGAAATTTCGTTTCGCATCAGTGACAATTTTGAAGAGAATTTGATGGACGCGAGGAAATAATTATGAACGAAAGATATATCATATACGAGAGATATAAAAGTAATAAGATCCGATATTTATGAGTATACAAAAGGGATTAAAACGCGAGAAGCGAATTAGATTTTTTCTTTCATCCACTACTCTTAACACCCAAAATTTTCGACAAAGTATTCAAATCCTGACGAATCTCTCTATAATACAAAATATCGAACACTTGGTTTCAAATCAGATAATAAAAATAAGAAAATTATATAACAAACAAAAACGCTTGCTCGACGTTCGTTCGAGCTCGAATTAAAAACCGAGGAGGGAGTAAACGATAAGGAAAAAACCGCGCCACGGCGATCGTCTCTCGCGGCGTCGTTTCTCGACGAAGTAATTAGCCTTTAATTAATAGACTTGTCCCCGTTGAGAAACGGAGGTCAGGATCTTAATTATCGCGAGGCCGAGGAAACGTAAACGTCGCGTTTAACACGCAGGGTGGGACGACGAGGGTTGTGTCCTCGCTCGACTCGATTCGGGTTGGCGAGATGATAAAACGGTGGCGCGGCAATAAACGTCGTTCAGCCATTAAACTCGGCCGAATTCGGTGCGCGCACACACACACACACAGCCTCCCGTATTTCCACCATCCCCTATCGCCTCCACTCGCCGACCGTTCGTTTGCATTTTCAAATTGAACCGGCTTTACGCCGCTATCCGAGAGTTTTATGCCGCATCATCGTGTCCACATTATCGAGTTAAGCCCGTTCGGGAAATTCAATCTGCGACGATCTCTCGACGACGAGCGAAATTTCCACGGGGTGGAAACAGCGGTTGAATCTCGCGGAAAAGGGATGTTATTCGATTTGTGGAGGGAGGAGGGTTCGTGTTTCGCGCGTGGTATCCTTATTTAAGGAGGAAAAGGGGGGGAACGAAGCGAGAAAACTATAGGGTCGTGTGGATAAGGGGAGGAGGGGGAAACCCCTCGAATCGTGGCGCAATCCCTTTGGAAACTCGTGGAAACGAGTCGTGACGCTTTCATTCTCGAATAAACGACCGATATCGATCGCGATCGATATCTCCGCTGCGACGAGATACGCAAGACTAATGGACCCTCTCCGCCGCGCCCTGTGTCCCTTTCATGAGCCCTTATCCCCCTTTTTATCTTCCATCCACCCCGATGGAAGATCGGCCCCTGCTGCGAGCACACCACTTGCCGCTATCTCTCTCTTTCTTCACCTTTACCTGTCGTTGTTACCTCTCCCGACTTGCAAATTTCGCTCTCGATTCGATCGATCTCTCTCTCTCTCTCTCTCCGATTTAATCAAGGAAAACACTCGACACACACATACGATTGCGCATCGAATATCACCGCTTTCGAATCTTCGATTCTAAGTCGTGATCACGAGACGTGGAACGGTTTGAGGATGATGATATGTTTGGGGGGACGTGTGATTCGCGCATCAGATTCCTTGAAATTGTTGTTCATTTTTGCGGGATCATTGTGGATAGGAATATAAGAAAGTTTAATTTGGGTTTCTCTAACTGGACACGTTCGATAAAACGTTACGTAAGTAAGTGGAAGTAGTAAATATCGGCTGTCTTGTCGACGATAATTATATCGACGATGAAAAATATATTGATATAAAACAATTAATGGAA